AAAATATCAGTTTTTACCAAAAATGACAAAATATCATCAAAATTAGAGAATTAAAGATATCAACATGAAATGAACAAACCTAAGAGAGGTCTACCCAAGGTACATATACACCAAGTATCAAAGCATTTAGGCTTGTAGTTTTCAAGAAGAAGTCGAAAAAGTAAAACATTGACACGGACGACGGACGACGACGACGGAGACGGACAATCACTCATATGATAAGCTCCGCTCGACAAAGTCAACAGCGGAGCTAAAAATAATAGTGGATTATTCTCTCTCTCATCAACACAAACTCTTAAATGTATAATCACACAAAGCCCCATGAGGGCAGTAGTTACTGCCCATATCGAGCATGATGAACCATACAGCTTTAGATGACATCAGGCTATAACCTTATTATTATCATGGAAGGTACTAATGGAAGGAGCCACAACGCCTCTCAGGTGGCCACTTAATCTTCTTAACAGGCTTATTTTCTTTTATTTCAACCCAAGTTTAATAATCCAGATGAGGACATTGTCTAGTTCATCTTTGATGTCAATGATAGTTTGTGGTTGTTTACACAAGTAACAAGTTAGCGGGATATGACATAACCTTGCCGATTTTTAAATGTGACGATAAAATGTATGCGCATTATGAAACTTTGGTCATCACATATGCGCACTCGGTTTGTTTAGTTGTGAAAGGTCAAAATACGTATTTCACAGCCGGAAATTCAACAGATGAACGTTTGACTTCACAGATTTCACATGTTTTAATTATTAGCAACTGTAACAAGAACAAGGTTTTGAGTGTCTACAACAAAAACTCCTGAGGACTCCTATCAAATATTATCACAGAGAAAGTGTCCAGGCATGCCCTTCTTTCGATACTATCTTTTCTGGTGGTGTTTGCCGATGCCCCATGGTCGAAAATTTCAATAGTTTCAGGCGTCAAACCGTGGACGTACTAGTACGCAATGACAATGGTACCATGGAATAATGCAATGGTTATTGTCACAGGCAATCATTGATTAAGTCTCATCACCATTACAAATACAAAAAGATTCATGATAGTTCATCAGTTCTTCCTCAATCGATGTTATATCTGCCAATTTTTCATTAAAGTTCGCCAAAATCTCCGGAAACAACAGCATTCAAACTAGACGCCATTTTCAGTATTGTACATGTGAGGTTCGTCTATCGCTTCCGAACATGCTCCGAATATTACCGAATGCTCGAATGTTTCTATAATACTCACCCAAGATTTCTAAGTTGGGAATCACAATCAAACAGTATACCCTCTGATCTGTACCCTAGATTGTCCATTGGCCAATACTCATCCGAAAAGAAACTGTTGATAAAATATAATTGAACAAGACATTACTAAGTTACATAAGAACCTTGTTTTTATTCCACCATCAACAATTTCAAATATTTTTACAACTGTAATATAATTATTACATATTGGTAAAATTAAAGATGTTGTTAGTATAGAAAAAACAACTTAATTTATTATAAATAATTATAATAGTACTTGAATAGTATATGTTTGTAACACAAACTGTTTGGACTTAGATTTGTGTACAACAGTAGATGATGTTTAATTTCATGCAGGTGTATGAGTTTATAATACTGCAAATGCATTTTAATTATTCAGTTAAATAAAACCTGCTAAATTATATATATCTATGCAAAACACATAAAATTACAATACAACTCATTGCGTCACTGGAAATTTTTTTATTAAAATTCTTAATATATCAAAATAGTGTTTTTTTTTACATAATACTGATGAAAAGTTGAATATCTAGAGATTGAAAAGTGATATTAAAAAACTGTAAATTGCATTCTCCTACATTTGTGGAGCTTTTTCTCTAGAGGTCATTAGGTTGTTTGGATTGATGTTTCCTTTAATGTTCTCACAGTACAATGCTTGGTGGGGGGGGGGGAGTGTTAGGTACTCACATGTTGATGGGATCTGTAAATCCTGATGTGTCATCCCATGGTAGCACAAAATAATGATCATATTTTATATTATTGTCTGTATTGCGGAACCAATCAGAGAATGTGTCAGCGGTCGGTGTGTCTGATATTGCCAACCAGCTGTCATAAGGACTGGCAACAAAGGACGGGGAATCTATCTTCACTACATCATCTTCATAGGAAAAATCAATATGAGATGAACTGTAAAAAAATAATTTAATTGGTTAGTTGTCCTAATAGTTTGACCTGAGAAAATTCAAGTCATCAGCTGACATGGTTGAGTGGAATTTTCAGCAATTTTACCACTGTAGAATGCAGCATATATGCAAATGTGATGCAAATGCAATACAATGCCAAGCGTAAGTTTATGCAATCGCTATAATGTACATGTGATTCATAAAAGTGTGAAAATATATAAAAATAAAACCTGAATTACCAGTGGTACACTAATGTATATATACAATGTATATAACCAGTAACACCCTTATTACAACAATGGACTAAACCATATCTTTACAATGTTGGACCATACCATTTAGAAGATGGTGAACTTTCTCACCTGAAGTCGTAATACGTGATGGGCAGGATAAAATCATGTGGACCAATGTTTGTTATATTCACTGTTGGCAAAGTCTCTAAAGTCAAGATATAGGAAGGTTGTCCTGATGCACTAATGTCAGTACCAAGTCTCATTTGAACTGTACATGTGTAATCCACACCAGCTTGTACGCCATCAGATGCAGTGAAAAGATGAGATAGATCAGTTGTTGTTACACTCAGGGTGCTCACGGCAGCGTTTACACACATGACTATATATTCCCTACAGAAAGACAATATAAAATTCATTCCATTATGGTAATTCTCTGATGAGGTCATATTCAAATGTTCATATTAAAGCTTTTAGAATATACAATTAATCAAACTTCAAAAGATAGCCTTTAGAAGATACATTCAAATTTTGATATTCAAGAATTTAAGCTTTCAGAAAATAAATAGTCATTCATATGTTACCATGTGTCTGCACTGGTTCCACTGTCTGGTCCACCAGGATATTCTTCAGCTGGCTCAGTCCATTCCACTAACAGCTCATAGAAATCAGGAGCACTTGCAGTTACATCACCCCCAGCTATATCACAGATAATAATTATTTTTAATAATACATCTCAGTAAAGCAGGCACAGGGGACAAAACAATAGAATGTTTTTAGCATTGACATGGCACAGTACATGTATCAGTGTTGTTTTTTACTGGTAATGGATCTCAGCGTTCAGTACAAATCACATAAGATAGATATTTATGTTTTCCAAAGGGCTCCATTTATCATTTGTATGTCAAGTTTAATGTAGTATGACCAAAAGTGCCTAGACTGACAAAATACACATACGGACAGAGAACTTGCAAAGATACTCTAAAAAACCAAATAATTGCTTAGTTGCCTTGAATATATTTTGTTAGAATTTAAAAAAAATAACCAGCATGTTGACTGATATAGCTCAGCTCTTTCAGATGCATAACGAGACAGGAATATCAAATCAATCAGCTATTTTCAAGATACAAGAATATTTACTAAAATGAAAATTGTTTAGTTGATCAACATTAAATGAACATACATGGATGTAGACAATAACAACAATAAATTTGTTGTGGCATTTCAGTGATTTGTGAATGCAAAGGAAGTTCATTGTCTGAACAAAGCCTTTGCGGAACAGTTATATACATGTAATCACCGTGGTTATATGTCATAACATGGCTATGACATTGTACAACATATTACCAACAAATTTGAATATGTGACAAATTGACGACAAATTAGGCTTCACTTTTATATATGTGTATACACAACAGGAATTTGATTGGCTGACACTCTCTTCATGGTTTATAAGCATTGTAGATTTGTACTCATGAAAGTTAAACCAAAGATGATATCCCACCTAGGGTTGAACACTAAAAAGCATCAACCCCTACCTTAGGTGAGTGTGCCACAGTCCAAATAGCAAGGCTAAATGAAGTGGCCGAGTTTCATTCACTAATGAATGCAACTTTGGGAGAACCTTGGTTAAAATCTGCAAGTGCTTGTATTCGACTGGGCCTGACTGATGCCAAGTTTAGTGCATTAAATTGCCATAATACCACTATGATAGGAAGATAGTCTCACAATCATGTCATGTAGTCCTAAACTGGAAGATGGTCTCAGAGGCAAAATATATATTTATATAACTATATTTCAGCACTTGCACATTACATATAAACAAAGTGTTGCCTGGCACAAAAAAAAATTCAATTATTCAACTCACCACACTGAAACACAGACTTGTCCACATTGTCAAAATAATTATTTTCATCTTTGTCACTGTATACCCATGTTACACCACTGGCAGCAGCAGGCATTGTACATTCACCACCTTTAATTGACTCATTCACATACTTCAATGAATAATACGTAATACAGTCACACCCCAATGGATTATTTGCAAAATTACTGCAGAGAAGAAATACCAAGTATTGTTATCCCTTTAAATGCCATTTTTTTTCAACTAAATCTTATACATTTTTCATTTTACTTTTATTTTGGATGAAAGGGTGTACCAGTAATTCGCCACTGGCTACATCTTGATCAACTTTTCAACATTGTTTTGACATAGCAAAGAACTACATGACAGTAAAACTGTTACTTACACACTATTTAACTTTTCTACAAGCGTGTTTCCAAAAGCATCAGGACCTAAAGCTTCAATACTGTTATGAGAAAGGTCACTGAAACATAGAACAATCATACAATTTTAGATACCTGTGGAGTCATTAATACAACTTTCCTTATTAACAGCGCCCTCTATAGTGACACATTTTTTCTGCAATGGATGAAAGTCGGTTCTAAGAATCAATGCAATGTTGTGATATCCATTCGTTCAAGATTTAAAAAATTTGAATTTTTTAGTGGTTTGTCTAAATTATGAATGGCAAATGAACCAAGTTTGTCGCTATGAACAACTTTTTTTCATCCTTTTGTATCATTTGTACATCGTAAAATCGATTCACTGCTAGAAGGCACTGCAGTTATGAAAAGTGTATTCAAATGTTTTAATATTGTAAACTTACCTGACAAGACAGGAACACTTCACAAACTAGCTAAAATGTGTATTATTTATTTTGTTTGAACACCCTGCTGTCAACCATATCAAAGACATTTAAAGTTCTAAAATAACATCCTGACTAGACAAGAAATTCAACAGAAGTAGACAAAGTACGAAACGAGAATACGATAAAAAGTATAGTAACATGGATAATATATACATGATATATAATATATATATACATGGTATACTTACAGCGACGATAATTTACTAAGGTCTGGTAAAGTTGGTAAGTATTCTATGGCATTATTGGAAAGAAGTCTATAATAATGAAAACATGATGTGAAGAATATACATAAGAAGAGAAAAAAAACATTTTGATTACAGATATACAATGTAGCAGGTAATAGTAAGAGTGATTAACATAGAATCCTGAAGAGTAAATACCAGATAATATCATTCTTAATACATGTATATAAAAAAGTAGAATATTTTTAATTCAGTATAGACCGAATGAATCAGAAAAAATAAAGGCAATTCAAAATTTGAAAGTGTTTATTAAGAGAAACTTATTTGGTATATACTGATTTTAGAATGACGAATTTATTACAAAATTAAACAAAAAATAATTTAAATTATTTGTTTTTTGTCACACTGAATGCTCCACTGGTTGCATGGAGAAGTACTGTACATGTACAAATAATTACTACGTAATGTACATCTCTATAAGAAAAGCATTGTATTAATAAGAAACATAGTTGAACTCTGGTGACCTTGCCCTTTGTTATATAATATAATTCCCTTTATCATAGATTGTTTCAATATAAATATGCATTGTCATAATTAATTTTGATTACAAACAAGTTTTGGGGTTGAAACAACAGTGGGGAATCAGTCTACCGAATGTCCTTAAAAGATGTAAATATCTTACAAAAACATTGGTGCCTTATTTGTTTAATTATTTTAAGGGACATAATTTCCAGCTTTATTCAAAGTAATTCAGATATTTTAGTATAAAAACAAATGCCTCATCGCATAGACGTGAATAGATTCATAAAACATGCAAGATAACAGAAAATCTTAGCTGGCTTTTGTCCAAGTATTTTGTACAGGTGTCAGTCAAAAATTAATGATTCACTGAGACAAATATGAGCTGCCTCATTGTGTGACTACTGTATTATATGAAAAGTAAAAAAAAAAAACACCCTCTATGAATAGCTATCATGTTGTAAGCTCTGCTTTGTATGCAAATCAACTTAAATAGTTAGTTGGTGTCCAGTGGAGAGAGAAGTCAACAGTACTGTTGCTTCCTAAATGTTAAATAAATCTTTGTGTTGTGTAAATATAATTGGCCAGTTCTATAATTATGCCAGGATCTTTGCTTGAGAGTATATATGTGAACTGTATATTTTTATTGTTATTATCTTTTCTAAGGTCTATGTTTTAACGAAACATAACACTTTTTCTACTTGTACAAATAAAGTGGTTAGGTCGAAGTATTTGGGGCATTGAGGCTAAGTCTTCTACTAGCATTTACCCATGAAAATTGTCTCTCTATCCTGACCAAGCAACGGCAGACGCTTCTTTGTTTCAATTTGTTTCAATTCAAATTTGATCCGGGTTGCGTGTAAATACATTCCATGTGTGAGGGACGTCTCGTAAACATGCGGACTTATCACTCAACATGCACTTTATTTCTTTATTACATACTATGTATTATGGAATTGTGTGCTAGTTAACACTTGGGTTGTGGCAAATTTAACACCTCTCCCAGGTGTGGCTACTTTTGAAACCTGCCATTGTCTTCATTTAAATGGCGGCATGTCTGTGACCCTTCGGTGAACATGCACCAGTTACTAACTACACTTAAAATTCTATGATTCTTTAATCGCTGACCACGGGTTCATACTAATTTTACCGAAAGAAAAAACAATTTTCACATGTTATGCGGAGTGTGCTGGCTGGTCATGGCCGTTTATTAAATTATTGTGCTTTCACCTTTCCTGTGCAATTTCGTGAAGAGCAAAC